AGGATTCTTGGCTAACATTTAGTTTATAAACTTGTTAACCTCTACAGGTTTTATCAATGCTAAAGGATTCTTGGCTAACATTTAGTTTATAAACTTGTTAACCTCTACAGGTTTTATCAATGCTAAAGGATTCTTGGCTAACATTTAGTTTATAAACTTGTTAACCTGTACAGGTTTTATCAATGCTAAAGGATTCTTGGCTAACATTTAGTTTATAAACTTGTTAACCTCTACTTCCTTTAGCACTGAAAAAAACCTGTAGAGATTAACAAGTCTATAGACTAAATGTTAGCCAAGATTCCTTTAGTATTGATAAAAATCTGTAGAGGTTAACAAGTTTATAAACTAAATGTTAGCCAAGAATCCTTTAGCATTGAAAAAATCTGTAGAGATTAACAAGTCTATAGACTAAATGTCAGCCCAGATTCCTTTAGCACTGAAAAAAACCTGTAGAGATTAACAAGTCTATAGACTAAATGTTAGCCAAGATTCCTTTAGTATTGATAAAATCTTCTGGGCTGACATTTAGTCTATAGACTTGTTAATCTCTACAGATTTTTTCAATGCTAAAGGAGTCTGGGCTGACATTTAGTCTATGAACTTAATAGTCTCTATAGGTTTTTCCACTGCTAAGGAATTCTAAATCAACACTTAGTTTATAAACTGTTCTATCTTTACAGGTTTTCTTACTGCTAAAGGAGAACTGGTTAGATCAATTCTATTTTCCAAACCACTGGATTTTAGGTTCTACCAAGACTCCGTTCGCTTTGTTCTTGTCCTCTTCTGTATCTCTGCTTTTGGCATGGTGTACACTACCTATTTATATATTCAGAGACATGTAAGTTAAATATTAATAATATATTCATTATTTATTCTAGAATATTTTGATGACTTCTATCTGTTTTTGTGAAAACTATTTCTGCAATGAAATTCTTATTACATTTCCACCTTGTTGTTTATACAATTATGTTTATTAGAACTGGATTAGGCCCTCATTTTAATAATTTATTTATGTTATTAATTGAAAATTTCACACCTGGTTAGAACCAAGCATGTTCTGAAATATTTATGTTACATGATACTGAAATAACCAGAAAATGTAATATGTAATACTGAATCTACAAAAAAAGTAACATATTTGTTATGTCCACAAGGTAACAGTGTCAGTTTTTTACATCAACATTTTATGTGACACGTTCTTTAATTAGGAAACGTATAACTTCCTGAATTAAGCAAAAATATTTTTTTTAAAACATTTTAAATAACGAGGGAATCATTTATTCACTTTACACCCATTTTTGACTTAGGAAATCTTCTTAGAAGTTAGCATGTGTTAAAAGTTTTTTATAAAGCATAATCATGATGTCAGAAGAACACGTAGGTTCAAGAAGTCTTGATACAAGATGATAAAATCCCTATAACCCGAGTGTTTTGAAAAAGTGGATCCCAGTTTGCCCCTGAAGAAGAAATGTCCACCTTTCAAAAGTGTACAGGTTATAGGGTTTTTATCATCTTTTATAAAGCATAATGGTGGTAGCTAGAAAAATGTGAATAAATTTGATGCAGAAGTGATAAAATTAGTGTTATTATTCTGTTTTCGTCTATTGTTAGACTTGAGATTGGGCTTCATATTAGTTTGTAATAGCTTAAACATCTTGTCTGCTGGATAATTCAGAAGAATAAATCAGTAAAAGCAGTGCTACAAAACCTTCATTAACATAGGTTCGCTGTTGCGAGAAAGCGGAAAATCCAAACACTATACAGAAAAGAGAGATAGATCCAAGCGTTGGGTTCAGTGGTTAACATGCCAGACTGTGGAGTTGAGGTTAAATGGTTCGTGCCTCATTGCCATTCTTTACACTCTAGAGCCTTAGGTGCGTTGTAAGAATTATGATCAAATCCCACCTTCTGTTCTCTGACAAAAGTAGTCCAAGAGTTGGTGGTGAGTTATGTTGATTAGCTGCCATCCCTGTAGTCTTCAAAATTAAGGACAGCTAGTACTCATAGCCTTGATATAACTTTGTGCAAAATTTGCTAAAGAAACAAACATATAAACTGTAGCAAGTATTAAAATCTAAGTAAACACTTTGTAAAGCAATTGTAGTTTTAATTTGGTGGTGCAGTTTTTGTAGTACTATTACAGATTATACTTTGTGTGTATTAGTTTTTGGATTTTATTTGTAAAAATATCAACTTCATTTAGTCAGTTTTTAATAAGTATGTTTATTTTTTTCATCTGTGATTTGGTTCTTTGCTAGGCAACATTAAGGAAAACTATTAATAGGGTATTGGACATTATTACCATAGTAGTACCTCCAATCTTACCGGCAGCCATGACAGTTGGAACAGTTTACGCACAAAATAGACTCAAGAAAAGTGGCATCTTCTGTGTCAGTCCTCCAAGAATCAACGTTGGAGGGAAGTTAAAGCTTGTCTGCTTTGATAAGGTATTTTAACTTCTGAAAAAAAGACTGTTTTAAAGCAATGTTAAAGTATTAATAAGTTTAGTGTATAAACGCTGCTTTTTGATCGAAACATGTGGGAAGCTAGAACAATAAACTAAACGATACTCAAACATAAGTATTGTATTCCTAAATAATGTATAAAGTTATTAAATATTTTTTTTTAGAAAAGGATTTTACGTATGTAAATAAATTTAGTTAAAAACTTAATGTAGATAGAATTATAGTTTTAAAAGAATATATAACATATTTGGACCACATGTGCAGCTGAAACGTTTTATACATTTATTTAAATAAATCTGATTTTATCTACTTAAATTTTTATTCAAATTATTACATAGTGATATTGAAGAGATGCTGATCTTGTACAATATCAGCAGTAAACAATACTGAGGAAGTATTGTTCAAACTATGAACACTAAGTGATATCATTAACCAATAGTATTGTTAAGTATAGGTCTAATTAGAAACTACAATATCAGTAGTAAATAATACAGAGGAAATATTGTTTTGTAAAAACAATGAGATACATGGGGGATCCAAGAGAGGGTCAAAGGGTTCTAAGTTATCCCCCTCAAGTATACAAGATCATTTTTGGGTCATTTTTAGGTGCCTTTGTCTATTCCATATGAGACAAAAGTGCAGAATTTCCCTGGGTGTCACCCCTGGACTCCACCAGGGGCCCTAGGGTGGGCCCATAGACCCCACCCTGTAGAGGCTCACATTGGTGTCTTTGGTGCGATTGTTCCAAATTTTCCAAACTTTCCATGTTTCCAAACACTAACTCTGGATCTGCCACTGACAGTAGTAGTAGTAGTAGTAGTGGGAAAGTACTTTTTATTTAATGTCATTAACAATAGTTTTAATGAAATGCTCTTCTAATCTGTACGTATATAATATTATTATGCAGTATGATGCTGAGGAGTTTGGTGTCACTACTTAGCCCTAGAACTGTCAAAAAAACATTTTCTTAAGCTGATTATTCATCTTGTTGCTTTTGTGTCCATAAATGTTTTGTTACAAGTTCTCTAATAACATCTGATTCTTAAAAAAAAAATTAAATAAAAATACTCTTACTATTTCAATTAACTCCATTGATTACATAGAAAATGATTGATTTATTTGCTCAGTTCTTTACGCTGAATGTGTGTGTCAGTTGAAAAACATAAAATTACTCAATACGATACAACATGTTGATATCAACAGTAATGAACCAGTAATTTGAAGGTTAAAACTGTCAGGTTTGTTAAATAAGTCTGTGATTTGAGGGTTAAAACTGCCATTTATGTAAGTAACTAAAATTTGAGGGTTAAACTGTCATTTGTTAAGTGGACATTGTAGGTATATTCAATTAACTGTTTCTACCTATTTGTTAAGTGGACATTGTGTGTATACTTGTGCTTAAATCCTATTT